TGTTAGAAGATTTTCTTAACAAAAGATCATCTGAAGTTTTAAAGTGAAGATTGTTTTGAAGTTTTTGAAGAAGTCATGAAGTGCTTAAAGAGACAAAGTTCAAACGAAATTCAAAGCATGTAAATTCTTTCAAACCTGAATACAAAGGGGGCGAATGTTAGAACTAAATTTCAGTGTAAATTGTATTCGTCTTGAAAAGATAATTTTGTCTATAATTGTTGTAAAAGTCATCGTGTTTGACTTTCCTAATAGTTTGACTTTGACTTAGAAGGGTTCAAGTTTGACCCTATATAAAGGATTTGTCTTTTGTAATTTTGTAGGAGATTTCATTTTGTAACAGTACGTAAAGTTTGAGAGATATAAAAAGTTTGACTTGTTGACTTTCTCTCTCAACTCTCCTCTCATGTTCTTGAATGATAAACTTAGATCTGCCATGGATTATTGAAGATTAACTTGAAGATTGATCATATTGGACTTACGAAAGGTAAACATATTAGACCCATAATAAAATCAAATTCCAAAATGATATAATATTGATACAAAGACCGAAACAATCACTTTTGCCAAAACTTTTATAATTTTCTCTGAAAGCTCAAAAAATATCATTTTTGGCTTTTTCCGCTAAAAAAAATAAAACCAACTCTAAAAAATTACTAAAACACAAAATAACATCACATAAAAAAAATCTTACAAAAAAATTAACAAGATAAAAAAATAGAATTTTTTTAAAAACACTGAAAAATCACTTATAATTTACATAGAAAAAGAAACAAAAAATAAAAAAGTTTTCACACACGAAAAGAGAAAACAAAATTAACACATTAAAAAAAATCTCTCCGCACAGGAGCTCTCCGGACAACACTATCCGGATAATATAAGGAGTCCTCACCGGTCAAAATAAACTCTCTTCTCCAGTCAAAAATTAAACTCTCCTCTCTCTGGGGAACACTAAAGCTCAAATTTTCACCTGTTAACTCTATCCGGTCAAGTCTTCTTCGATTAACACTCTGCGGTCAAGACCTCTCCAGTTAACACTTTAAATTAATTCTCCGGTCAAAACATCTTACATGATTAAAATATTTATCAGTCAAAATCAAAATATGTTTAATCCTTACCGACTAAAGAACTCTCACTAGTTAAAAGTTCAAAACCATTAAATTCGTTCTGGTTATCAATCACAATTATATTCAAATAACACAGATTAATGTTCTTATCGATCACCAATGTACCAAACAAACAGTCTCTTTCGTTCATGTTCATTAAGAATATTGGCAAGTTAAAGTTTAAGTTCATTAGGAGAATTATTCAAGAACAGAGTAGGATTCAAAACAATGTTAACAAACCTTAAGATTTCATTGAATAGAGTCCAAATAGATCAATCAATTCAATAATCCAAAAGTGAAAGAACAATCTAAAATGAATCAAATTGGTGAAGGAAGTTCAAAGAAGACTTCGTCTGATGAGCGATTAAGGTATTATGAGCAATGAAGAATGAAAGATGAAGAACAAGTGAAAGTAAAAAGTGAAAAGTGAAATCGAACACCGTATTTATAGGGAAAACTGAAACAACACGAAGACACCGATTCAAATTCCTCATCGGACGATGCTTTGTCCGGATAGGCTCCTCATTGGACAAGCCTTTGTCCATATAGACTTCTTATCGATCAACACTTATCAGTCTATCCTTCATCGATCAACACCTTGTCCAGATAGGCTCTTCATCGGACAACACCTTGTCCGGATAGACTCTTATCGAACAAGCCTTCATCGGTCACCTCTATCAAGTAACCCTTCATTCGATCAATGCCTTGTCCGGATAGGCTCTTATCAGATAACGCTTTGTCCGGATTGACCCTTCACCAGACAACACTTTGTTCTTAGGATTCTTATCGATCAAAGCTTCATCTCTAAAAGTACCTATAAAAAATTTATATCAGTTAAAATCCAATCATAAAAATAATATAAGAAATACAAATATTTTGCTCCCCCTAGAAAAATGATTATGATAAACAAAAAATTTCAACACTCCCCCTCAAATATAGAATCCATATTCAAAAACATTTTTCAATACTCCCCCTAGAAAATAGATTTCTCATTAAGAATATTATAACAGATAAATCATTAAGCTCTTTTTTGAATTAGCTCAGGTTCTGAACTGAATTGTTTAGAAGTTGTGTTCAAGAGCAGGTCCTGAACTGGGTGTTCATAAAGCATATTGAAGACCAGTAACTAAACTGAAGTGTTTAGAAGCTATAGTGGCAGATCACATACTTCCCTCAAATCATTCATCAATATATCATATGAATAAATGTCTGACATCAGCATAACACATGATACACCTTCAAAACATATTAAGTAGATTTTGGTACCTACACATACATGGGTCCTATTTTGTTAGTACTGGTTTGAGGAATGCTATATATACCATACCACCTATTCTTATCAAATAATTTCTTTTTAGTTCTTTTAACAGGTAAATCAGATATGCAATAAGAATCATACCAGTCATTATTGTACCTGTTGTTCTTATACCAACTGTTCTTATACCAGTTGTTCTCATGCCTGGTATTGAAATTCTAGCTGTTTCCATACCAATTGTTTCTGTACCATCTACTGATCTTCTTCTTGTTGACGCAATCATTTGTTCCACATGTTGAGCATCAAATTCTTCTCTTGCTAAGACTGATTAACTGATTAGTAGACTTCACAATGCAAGATAAAACAATCTTAGTAACAAATGATTTCTTATCATCAACAGACTTATGAGAAGTCTTACCTAAAAATTCAGCTTTATTAACCCAAACCTTTTTCACTTTTGAAAAATTATTATCTGATTCAATTATGTAACCTTTATAAAACCGATTTTGTATTATGAGACTTGTTCTTTGAAACAGTTGATTTCTGGCTACTTGAATAACTGTTGGATTTGACACTAGAACAGTCATTCAAGCAAGTTTTACACTTAGATTGAGAATCAGTTGAGCTTTCAGTACTCGTTTCATAAAATTCTTTTATTTTCTTTAGCAACTAACCTCTCTCTTCAATAACTAAATCATATTGCTTTTTAAGCTCAGATCTCATATTTATTTCAGTTACAAGGTCAATCTTTAAATCAGACAATTTCTTTGAGGTTTCAGAGAACTTACCTTCTTAGCAGTATTCTTCTTCTCAGATGCAAAGGCTTTTCTTTCTTCATCTAAAGCCTTCTGCTTAGCAACAATGCTCTTGGTCATTTCCAGATATTTCTTTTTAGATTCTTACAAATATTCTTTCTTCTCATTATCAAACTTGGCTCTTTCTAAGATGATAATTTGTTCAAATTCAGAAATCTTCTCTGACAGTTTTGCATTGTTCAGCTCAAAGACTTTTGATCTTACTATCAAGACTCTTCTTTGCAACATTAAATTTATGTTTAGATTCAGAAATTTTCTCTGACAATTTTAAATTATTCAGTTCAAGAATTTTGATTTTACCGTTAAGAATCTTCTTTTCAGCATTAAACTTATGTTCAAATTCAGCAAATCTTTCCTTTTTCACATCCATTTTTAGCGGTATTTGCTTTTTCAGACTTTAACAAATTTTCCAATTCAGTTCCTCTCTTCTTCTCCTTCTCAAATTTCTTTCTTTCAAAATTCAGTTCTATCTCTGCTTCATAAAGTCTTTTAGTCAGCTCATAGTTTTCCTTTGTCTGTTTCACATTTCTTTCCTCTAAATCAGATGAAAAACCTATAGAGATAAATTCATCAATTTGTTCTTGTAAGGATTCTTTTCTTCAAGAAACTTTTCATTTTCTTTTGCTAAATCTTTAGCCCACGAAAGATTGAAACGATTTTCGTAAAACAATTTTAGCATACTTATCTTCTTCCAATTTAAATTTGCTTTCCAACTCAGAAATTCTTTCTTTCAAATCTTCATTTTCTCTCTCAAATTTTAAATGATGGAGAATAAGCACAAGACTAATATTGATTTCAATGATGGAGAATAAGCTTAGTAGACTTTCTGGGTGAAGCAAACACTTGTTAGCTACAAGCCTACAACTGTTAGCAGGGTTAAGAATTTTTTATTTAAGGCCATGTGGGTGCTCCTTTTACCAAGTTTTATTACTGGAAATGTAAAACTAAGAATGGGGTTATAGTTATTGGTGTTGTATGGTGACATGGCAAAAACCTACCTAAATATGAACATATCTCCTTGGCCTTGGGAAACATAAGATAATCCTTCTTGGCAGTGGACTTCCTATCTACCAAGTTTTCTTTTCACCACACCTGGCCACAGATCTGGAGGAACACATTTGCACAGCAAAAATCAACATCTTGTTTTTTTTTATGTATAATCTGGTTTATTGTATACAATATGTATACTCTTTTTTTATGATAGAATGCTTTGGATAGGGAATTATAAGAGATTTTTTCCTATGCTTTTCAATCTTGTCATGCTTGTTTGGATTGATATACTATTATGTATTGGCTTGAACYATTAATTATTTTCTATTTTTCATTTAGAAATTTCTTTCAGAACTGTTGTCAAACGTTAATTTTCATTAAACACAAGAATGATGGTAAAATGATAATTTTATGTCATTCAGACTGTTAATTCAAAATAGTTTCCAAACAACCTTTTTCTATCTAACACTAAATCATACATAATCTCTTAATCATTCTGACCACGTAATCATTCTGTATTAAATCATTCAATAACTGTCAAACAGCCCCTAAATCATAAAGATGTATCTAACATGTTTTAGAAAATCAAAAGAATTATTTAATAGATTTTAAAATATCCAAATCTTATTTGTTTCAAAAAATTATCTAACAACTTAATAATTTCAAACGGTAAACTTTATCGGTATTTTTAGACTTTTCGGTCAAATTAAACAACGCCTTGGTCCATTTGAGTTATACGGTGGGCTCCACGAAGATGTTGTTAGGCTGCTCCGGCTGATTCACAGGCGACGACAACGGCACGGCGATTAGAGCCCAGCCCAGTCTCTTTCTGTCAGCTCACTCCGCCGCAGCGCCGCTCCCCTTCCCTCCCGACGGTTACAACCCAGCGACCATCATATCGCTCCTGTCCAGGCTCCAGCGGCGGGCGCCCCCATATCCTGAAATCTCCAATTCGTTCTCCTGCTCAGGTTAGATACTTTATACTTAAATTAGCTTTTCTAATGTAATAAATAGGGTTTCAATTATTCTACTTGGCCTAAAAAAGGGTTTTGAATATATAAAGCTTTGAACTTGGGTCAGTGGGCGTTACTTCATAAAATAGGGTTTTATTTGTCGTCGAAGTTAGAAACTGTAAGATGAGTCTCTATATTCAAGTAATTTACCTTCTTGTGGAATGGAAACTTATGTGATTTTTTATTATTACTAGTTTTGCCAGGTGAAGAGCCATAGGGATTTTCATACTATTATTTGTTAAGAATTGGATGCACTGTGTTGTTCAAGCTGAATTATAGTGGTTGTTATTTGAACTTACCTTCATTGTATAGGTACTGAAAATTTGCTAATTTTCAGACGTTATGTGCTTGATTATAATGTGTGCATTACTGCATTAGGACTCCAAGTTGGGGCCGTGGGTGTTACTCTATAAATCGGTGTTGAAGTCAGGCCAGCATTTAGAAATTACCTGTTAATGCTTAATATTCGTTTATCCTAGTTGAGTTGGGTAATTGATTATGCCTCTTTAACATTTTTTCATTCTTCTAGTTGATTGGTGATTTATGTTTCAACAGTCGGACCGCAATCATTTCATTGTAGGGAGTTCATTGCATCATTTGCATTTTTTCTTGGGCAAGTCAGCTTTCATCTCCATATTCACGAGTTGTATATCTTAAGTTTTGGTCCGAAATTGTTACCAGTGGTGAGTATATTCATGAGTATATTATCCTATCAGGTTGATCTGCTTTCTTGCTGTTATCTCTTTCATCCCCAAAATCTACCTTATTGAAACTCCTTTATCACTCTTTGTAACTTATTTCCTATGTCGTTTCTGTATGTATGTGTGAGAGCTAGAAAAACAAAATGAACCGAAGAACCTAAGTGAGCAGAAGTTCCATAATGTGTTACAACCATACTTGTCAAACAAACAAACAAACAAGTGAATGGTACACCTGTTACAAAAAGAGATTGATGTCGTCTTTTTCTTAACAAAGAAAAGATGTTCATTCCTCCCTGCTATTATCTTTTTTTGAGGTTTAAACTTGACTGTTTTAACTCTGAGTTTACTATATTTTGGTTTTATTGGAGATGAACATTTGTTTTTATGAAAAGACCAAAAAAAGCTATAGTTTGCAAGAACAGAAAGATGCTAAACAAATGATGTACTGAGATAAATGTAAAAGAAAGCCTTAAAGGTAAATAAAAACTTGTCGAGGTAACTGTTGAATCTGTAAAGGTCGGTATTCCACTTCTACAAAATAGTCGAGTTGAATTGATCATTTAATCAATATAATATCTTTGTGTTTGCCATTTTAAGAAAATTAGTTTTTCCTT